TACCTTAATCTAGATATGTATCTTTTAATCTATAAGTGTAACTTCTCAAGGATTAACACACCATTTTCTTCAATTTCACACAATTTTCAGGAATTATGAGATTAAAGCTATTAAATCTTTTCAGGCGAACTGGATTATCAGAGATCTTAATCCTTATCTGATTTAGAAACAAACTAGGTGTTTAAATCTTGTAAGTAAGTAGGCAATCGATAACCTGAAGAGCTCTTTTGTTGCTGAGAAGAAAGGGTATATACAATAACGCAAAACAAAACCAAATTCTCTAAAAATGGAGGTATGTAAGGTTGACCAGAACTGTTGGACCAAAAGCAACGGTTGTTTGAGAACTTAAAAAAAAAATTGTTGTAACATGTCAACAACATTTCTGATTTTTTTCAGTTTACAGACAAACTTTGGCCTGTTAAAAATATTTGAACATAACAAACAAACAAATGTGGCATGTTGTTGACAACTGCAAATACAATTTAAGAGTTTAAAATTTCAAACTTAGAAAATTTTGAGATATACCTTAAAATTGTCCCTTAGTTTGACATTCCTTGGCCTATCTTAACTCATAAAATTCATGATTTTGAATCTGTAAATGTCAACAACAATAATTACCTTATCCTCATAAATTTGTCATGTAATAATAACAAAATAAAATTTTACCTCTATTTTGTGGCATATTCATTACACTTTCTCATAAAATTCAAATTCTTCACTATTCAATATCTGACAAATTCATTATCCTTTCTACATAAAATGTTAATTTGAAATAAAAATTTGAATCCTGTAACAAAGAATTTGAGAACAGGTGTCCATATGTAAATAAAGGTAGTAGATTTTAGAGGTCAAACTTCCTACGGCCACAACACTATCCAATCAATATGTATTCAAAAGAGTGTTACCTACTGAATAAACATAAAACTGTCCTATTAGTAAATATGTTAGTACTTAGCATCCAATTGACTGATGATCCCAACCAAATATATACTAAAAAAATCTCACTGACTAATAGTCACAATAAGGACATCTCTTTGACACAAATTCAACCCAGTGACCTAGACTACTAGTTAAACAAACTAAATCTGATGAATAATACCATATATATATTATACTCCATCTCTTTTCTATGACAGATAAAGATATAATGAATTTCACTCTCATCTCAGAAGGGGGCATAATACCCCAGCTGTTGTGAAAATCATAAAGGGTTAAATAAGTAGGAAGGTGGTAGAAGGGGTTAATTGCCCAAGTCATTAATCAAATAATATAAATGAATCTTTCATCACTTCCATGTCGGACTACAAAAGTATCAAGTACCAAGTTGTAATTTTTTTAATCACCATCTACAAAGAGTATTCAGACTCGAAAAAACTGAAAATAGTTTCCGGCATGTATACCTGATAAGCGAGAGAGAGCAAGGCAGATCTAGCTGACTCATCCCCTGTCCACATGGATAATAATTTAGCATATTTTTGTAGAAGCGGACACTAACTGCTGATATCTCCAATATATCAATCTAAATCCCTGGGCACTATACTGCATTCCTTTTTTAATTGCGTAAGCTTACCTGATATCATATCAGTACCAATTTTAAAGAGTCAAAATAGTTTTCTGGCCTTTGTGTGTTTATCCAACAAAACAGTTACAGCTTCTATTTTCACCATTTGTATTTGAGATAGTAATTATGTAAAAGGCAAAGTTTTTCTGGAATTGATAATGCCACAGACGTCAGACAAGAACACCAAATGTAGTAAACAGTCCAAGGTGTAAGTGTTCCCAATACAAAAACTAACTTTTTAACAAATTTGATGGATCTGTCATAAACAAAATCTCCTATATTTATATATATATTTCAACTAAGGATCAAAAATAAACTATGCTCTTTATCCTGAATCAAACAGAATTCAAGGAAAAGTAATCTTTGTGTAAAAATCCTAGTTTCCCCGGTGAAAAATCGTGTCAAAAATCACGGTGATCTCAAATCATACTATTCCTTTAAGCTCATGATCAGAAAAAAACATTCAACATAAACCTGACATTCAGAAGTCATATTTTCATGGGTTCACTGAATTCAGCCATAAGAAAAAGCCTCATCAACTGTCAATATGTCTGTTAATCATTGACCTTTCAAGAAAACAGACCTCAGACATCAAATCCATTTACATAGTGATCATTTCATACCTTGGTCACAAATAGATCCAAAATATTCTACATTAATAAGGATTGTTAATAAGTACTATATGTCAGGTACTGGTATCTATAAAGATGACCTAGCAAGCTAGATACCATAAGTCCTGGTCTATTTTTAATGTAAATTTCTCAGATATCAAGAATAAGATAAAATATTTATTAGTTCAGGTGATAGTATTATCTTACTCTGATATGCTGCCAAAAACAAGTCTCTGAAGAATAAAGAATCAGATGAGAGCAGTTCAAATAATAGGAATGACAATTCAAATCACTCAACCCTTAACAAGCCAACATTAAAAATAATTTGACATGTGGCATGTTTATAATACATTATTATGTATTTGTAGAGTGCCTTCTATCCAATAAAATATACTACTCCATGGTGCTATGAAGCCAGATTTGGTACCTACAAACAATTACTTTTGAAAATCAAGATGAAATTCAACTGTTGTGAAATGGTTTGTTTTGATTGAATTTAAGTGAACCAGACCTCAATTCTAAAAATCTGAAAAATGATATGGATGGCTGTAATATAGCTCTATCAACTAGCTAAGCAAACATTAACATACTTTCATTTACTTTACAGCTTTAAAGGAAATCTTTTATACTTTTTAAAGGTGTTTACACAATAAACTTCAACATTTGAACCTGGAAAAAATCCAAGCAGCTGAAAAAAAACTAAGATAAAGTTTGCCTTTCCTTTAACAGAACAATGACAAAGCTTAAACCAATGTACTGGTACCTACATGCTAAGTTTAATTCATATCTTCCTAAATAACAAATGCCAGAATGATAAAGACCTTACCATGAGATAATTCCATCATATCCTATTCTATCTGATGTTACGACACATACAGTTATCCAGCACAATACAAACTATATATACTCATTTAATCATATAAAAAATAGCCTTCAGAACAAATTATGAGGGTATTGATCTTACTATGAAACAGATGGAAATAGCAAATCAATAAACATAGACTTCAATTAACTTTCACTAAGCCCACTCAATTTAAAGGAATATTTTACCAAAATTTCCATGAAACAATAACTTGAAAAATGTTGCATTCCATAAAAAAAAAAACAAATGATAGATCTGATAGCCTATCATGGTGTAATTGTTAACCTAGGTGTTATAGATTTAATTGGCTAACTATCATGGTATAATTGTTACCCAAGGTGTAACAGATTTAACAGCCTATCATGGTATAATTGTTAACCTAAGTGTTATAGATTTAATAGAATAACTACCATGGTATAATTGTTACCCAAGGTGTAACAGATTTAATAGGCTAACTATCATGGTATAATTGTTACCCAAGGTGTTATAGATTTAATAAGCTAACTATCATGGTATAATTGTTACCCAAGGTGTTACAGATTTAATAAGCTAACTATCATGGTATAATTGTTACCCAAGGTGTAACAGATTTAATAGGCTAACTATCATGGTATAATTGTTAGCCAAGGTGTTACAGATTTAATAGGCTAACTATCATGGTATAATTGTTAGCCAAGGTGTTACAGATTTAATAAGCTAACTATCACGGTATAATTGTTACCCAAGGTGTTACAGATTTAATAGGCTAACTATCACGGTATAATTGTTACCCAAGGTGTTACAGATTTAATAAGCTAACTATCACGGTATAATTGTTAACCTAGGTGTTACAGATTTAATAGGCTAGCTATCATGGTATAATTGTTAACCTAGGTGTTATAGATTTAATAAGCTAGCTATCATGGTATAATTGTTGATCTATATGTGTTACAGATTTAATAAGCTAACTATCATGGTATAATATTCTTGTTAATCTAGGTGTTACAGATTTAATAGGTTAACTATCATGGTGTAATTCTTCCCATATGTGTAATAGATTTAATAGTCTTTCATGGTATAATTGTTACCTTAGGCATATAGAGTTAGTAAACTACTTAGCCTACCAATACCATCCATTGTCATTTAACCTACACGCCCTTATCAATAGTAAACTTTATCCAATGACTTATCTAATGATATGAAATGATGCCAGACTTCTTTTGGATGAAGTCGCATTAACTATTGATAAGGGTGTGTAGATTAAACGACAATGAATGGTTTGCTAACTTTATATGAATTTAAACCATTTCTTATTCCCTTATCGATATGTACAGAAGATTTGTTGAAGACAGAATATTATTGCACAATTGAGTGTTTAGCCGCACCCAAAACACATTCGAAAAACTTTTTTTGAAGTATTATTTCATCAAAATGAATTGAATAAAGCTTAACACTTTCCAATATGCCAAAAGTGTATTTTTAAAACTACATAAGAAACTAGTCTGATCTGTAACTTACTTTTAGTCGTAGGTTTACATTTACTGAAAACATTATTCCTCATTTCCTGTTTTCTCCAGAGTTAAGAAGGTGTGACTATGGACCACTGTGAAGCAGAATTTACCGAATATCCTACCGATCTGATAGGCATTTACTCTTAAGATACCAGATACCACTATAAGCTACTGCTTCATGGCATAATCTTAACGTTGCAATATCTAAACAGCTACAAGGTTTGTTAATACCAGAATTCAAAGACAAAATCTGATATTTTTCTAATTTCAATTGCTTCCCCCATGATCAGCCCTCTGCCTTTACAGTAATATATGGTAACCTCAATTCATCTTAGATCTGATCATACATCTCACTAACAAAGCTGAGTGATTAGACGATGCAAATCCAATCAATGTTTTCTAGAATCTTAGGATTGTTGGTAGATTGCATGATGCAGTGTTTCTGGGTAGTTTTTAAAGACTGCACTAGCTATTGTTTTAAATTAACAACTGTTAACCAGATGCTATCTTTTTATTCATATGTCTCCATAAGAGGTTTTCTAAAAGTTTTATGTGTATTGGGAACACTGATAGTATCGATTTGCACCATTCGAATTTTAAATAAGACATCTATGGTTGGTGCAATCCCCTTTTATCTTAAGCGTTTTAGTCAACATCCTTTGCAACAGCCACAGATGTCCGACTAAAATAAAAATGGTGCCAATTGATGAAATCAATGAAACTTGATGTACTGTGTAAATGTTGATGGAACACTCTGAATAGTCAGTTGTAATTATTCAACAGTGCGTTTGAATACAAGATTGATTAAAATTCCATGTTGAACTCAGATAAACAACCTTTTCATTAGAGAAATCTACATTGTCTTGTCTCAAGACAAAAATTATTGACAATGACTGCACCCTGGAGGACTCGACCCCTTCCACTTGCAACCCAATATTATGTATTAGGGTGTAGATCATTCTGCTCCAGTTTGCATACTACCAGCTAAAACGTCAAAATAAAAACAGATAATAAGTGATGTTACTTTATTTGCACAAAGTTTGGCAGACAGCACATTGAAATTATTTTTGAAAAAAAAATGTGTGATGAAAACATTAATTTAACGTTTTCTGTGCATCTGTTCAAAATTGTGTTTCTTCCAGTTGGCCCATCTTGATCCACCAGTAGTTTTGTTGAATTTATGACCTTTACCAAGACCTCTCGAATTTTTGCCTGCATTTGTCAATCCACGTAATTCTCTATGTTTCATGACAGGATTACAAATCCATTGTATTCTTGGGTTTCTCCTGATAGATTTGTGGAATGGATCTACCAAAATGACTTCATAAAATTTGAAGACAGAATCTTGACAAACCCAGTATGAATTCAATACTCTCAAGTTACCACATCTTCTGCCAACTTTCTCCTGAAAAAATATATTACAGATATGCTTTAGTCTTGAGTAAATCAACAGAATACATTCATACAAGCTATATATTATAACTCAGACCTTCAGAGACATGGCTTAATGTGCTTCAAATCTATTGTTATATAAAGGGACATAACTACTTTACAGTCAACACTCCTGGCATGAGATTGGTACATTGCCACTGGCTCCATGATTTGTAGGAAGTTGTTCATAGCTGTTGTCTGTTAAAGAAAATATTTTACTCTTTATCTTTAAAATGAAGAAGTAATTACCTCAGCAACGGATCTCAAATTTCTGGCAAATTTAATTCTGACAACACAATGTCTTTTTGGTTTACCATAAGTGATACCTTTTCTGACAGGCTTCTTTCGGCTACCTCTTCGTACTCTAACTCTGTAGATCACAAAACCTGAAAACAGACCAGTGGTGTTCAGTATTTTATTTTCTAAAAGATGCATTTCACAACCTTACATCAGTGCACAAACTAATTTGTACTGTGACGAGCTTTCACATGCTCAATCTTTTGAAGAGCAATTTTGAAAACTGAACAAATAATAAGAATTATAAATCAAAGTTCACGTTACCTTGAGTAGCTTTGTATCCCAGCTGTCTAGCTTTTTCTGGTCTGGTGGGTCTGGGACATCTATGGACAGGATTTAATTGTCTGTATTGCCAACATCTAACACGTAGGAGAAATCTCATAACATCACTCTGCTTCTTTCGGTAGATTTCCTGCATATACTTGTATGCCCCCATGTTGACAAATTACTAACTCCTGAAAAAAGAATATCATCGATATCAATTTCAACCATTTAATACGTTTTCTACAATTTACAGGGAAAAATTGTCAGTTTTTTTCTTCTAGTCTAGTCATCAATAAGCCTGAAGGCATGGCTTCCAGCATTGCTAATAATGTTATTATGACTAACTGGCATACTGGTACCCTACTAATCTTTTTACTAGCCTAAATTCTTAACAGAACATATTTAGGTATGAAAAATTGAATAGAGTTTTACATCCTACTTTTTCTGCATTGTGGTGGGATCTAACAGCCTGAAGCACACGGAGCCTCGGTTAATTGTAACATCCGAACGACTGGGCGCTTTTTCCATGTCATCAACATGTTTAGTTTAGAGGCAGACGTTGGGATCCCATGATTTGACACGTGAAAAGCTATGTTTGGGGGTACTTATTTAACCTTTACGATCTAAATACGCTAATTAACAGATACGATGATATTACTACTACATAAGAACATCATAAATAGTTTGGATGATGGCAGATTGGAAGGGATTAGATTAGAAATTTGATGCATACCACTTCACTGTAAGGAGCAATGTTGAAAAGACTGAAACGAGATTTGACGATAATGCACGAGAGTTGTGGCGAGACTAATTTTCGGGAAAGACCACATTAGGTTAGGTTAAATGGAAATGTTTATGTAAGAGAATGAAAAGAACAAAATTTCTTTTGAGATTACTTAACTTTTATTATAGGGGGTCATACATTATTGACCAACTCAATTTCCAATTGTTTCTTGTGAACACTAGATTTTTCATGGAAGAACTCCATTGAACTCCTACTCTACTCTTACTCATTATCTGTCCGTTGTTGGCACACAACTTGTGTCACAAATTTTTAATTTTTTAACAGTAACCTTTTTGCTTTTTTTTCTTATGTGAGCCCTTCATTGACCTTAAATTTATATTGAGAACAAATCTAAACCACTTTAAATGAACAAGCATCAAAATCTCTATCAATCAAACTTTGTATTTACACAAAAATAATGTTACCTGATTTATTGACCATAAATTAATTTGCCCCCCTTTGACCACTAATATCAGGAATGACATTTTTTATTTTTCTTTGATTAAAGAAACACACTTTACACCAGAGCTGTTGATTCATCTGTATCTGCCAGTCATATCTGATTGGAGCTCCAAAATTACTGACTGCAGTATTGACCTTCTGGACTTTTTTCTATTCAAATGTATTTCGATGAAAATTGGCAGAAGATTTTAATGTCTGCTTACAATCTTCTAAAATTAATAACCCTCATTTACACCAGACTACTTAGTGAGCAATTGGTGTAGTGTATAGTCTTACTCATCTCCTCTGTCTGTTGGCACACTTTATTTTCAACACAAAATATATCAAGTTTCAATCTGTCAGTGTGTCAGAAGATTTATATGATAAACCTAACTACAATGTTTGACAACATCTTTAACATCTGCTAAATTCTGCTGTTTCAGTTTCAGTTTGCAGACTTTGTTTCTTTATATTCTTAGTCATCTTTCACTCCTGGATTATAACTCCATATGTGTAATTTGCAATAAATACAAACGAATGCATTAGGGGTTTAGAATACCTTAAATTGATCAAATGAATCAATAATTTCCAGTTGAACTATTCACCAAAATTACAACATGGGACTGATTTTAAAATGATGACTGAGAATATCCCATACATAGCTTAATCAAAATTTTGGCTAGGATATGAAATTTAAAAAATGTAAATGCACAAATATATGTGAAATAATAAGCTTATTTACAGAATGTAGGCTACTTAATATTGATAACAATGAATAGAAATAGATTTTTTAAAAATATATTTAGGTATTTGTCAATAATAGGTCAATAATATCGATTACAAAAATTTAGAAACACTGCGTTCTAGAAAATATATTCGGGTATTTTTGTTTCATGAATAATTGAGTAAGCTATGACAAAGCCATGACTGATAAGCTAGTAGAAGATACTTGCAAGCAGCCTCGCCTGGCTGGCCAATTCCACAGACAAGTCTCTACAGAAATACAGCTCACATTATGCTGGCCCTAACCATGGATAACTAACACCTGGCAGCTGCTGTAATTTTGATCACATTTTCTAGTGTACTAACTTTCATGTGCTTTACTTGAGTCTTTTACAAATGGAATCAATGAGTTTCTTGATTTAGAAACCCTTCATAGCCTGCAAGTTCAAGTATTAAATTTCAAATTAACAGAGAAGATACTGAAGCTAGAGGTGAGGCCATATTTATATATGATTATCAATTGATTTTGTTGGTATTTTAAATACTGTCTGCTTGTATACTGCATAGCTAATGTCATATCAAGCATGTGTTCACTGTGACATGTCTATTGATTGGGCTGATTAATTACTTTGACAAGTTGACTTTATCTACCTCTTTTTATCAATAATAGAGAGCTAATAGACCATTGGTAAAATAGGCAGTGTTGTGAACTTGTTTCTTTGAAGTTTAAGATAAAATCATAATCTAAGAAAAGGAACACATGGTTTGATTTGATCACCCATTCACATTACAATTCTATTGTTTGAGAAGAATTAAACATGTGCATTCAATGCAACTATCTATGCAGAAGTCAAACTGGCCTTGTGGAAATGTCATAAGTTTTTATGTAAATGTCTGAGGTGAGTCAAGATACAGTCATATTGAGGTGGACTGTATTTTTTCTACTTTTAATTTAGTTTATTGATCTGTCACATCGTACATTGATCTTCAAAGCAAGTCCACAACTTTACTCTTTGAATTTAGACACCAAAGTAAATATAGTTTTTATATTGCTGTTCTGTTCCTTGTTTGTTGATTTGATTTCCAAATGACTGGCTTTAAAGCAGATTCCTGCAGTGGGGTAGATCAGTCTACGATGGGATAGATCAGTTTCCAGTGGGACATTGTAATTCTTCAATGGGACAAGTCAGTCTGCAGTAAGATAGATCAGGCCACCATGGGATAGATCAGCCTGCAGCGGGATAGATCAATTCAAAGCGGGATACGTACATCCACAGAGGAATAGATCAGTCCACCGTGAGATGGATCAGTCTACAGTGAGATGGATCAATCTGCAGTGGGATGGATCAGTCCATTTGGGATAGATCAGTCTGCAGTGGAAAGATCAGTTCACAGTGAGATGGATCAGTCTGCAGTGGGATAGATCAGTCCATTTGGGATAGATCAGTCTGCAGTGGGAAAGATCAGTTCACAGTGAGATATATCAGTCCACATTGGGATAGATCAGTCCACATTGGGATAGATCAGTCTGCGGTGAAATGGATCAATCCACAGTGGGAAAGATTAGTCCCCAGTCTGATAGTTTAGTTCACAGTGGAATAGATCAGTCAGCAGTTGGATAGATCAGTCAGCAGTTTGAGAGAACTGTGATTCATTGCTTACTGCTTATAGACAATTTACAATTTCTTTGGTGTCTTTCATGGTTACATGTTGAAGAACTCCAGGAGCCAGATTAATTTTGCTAGAATAAGATATAGTATCAGTAGTTATTGTTTAATTTATTGATGTGGCTGGAAACACATTTATTGATAAATATTGATAAAGAATCTCAGGTATTTGGTATATTGATCACTTAAGAGTTTTTCTGCTGTCAGTCAAAATCCCACATTAACCTTGAACTTGCACAAAACAGTATAGTTTCTTATAAATACTTCTTTTCGTTGTTTATCTGAAGTATTTTAAGCTTATATCTTATTTTGAGAAATTGATTTCAGTTAATGCACTATTGAGAAGTTTGTCACCAGTATAGATTCAATAAGTACATTTTGTTGTCCTTGTCGGAGGGGCTGAATGTTGTCTGCTAGTTTGGATAGGATGAAAAGCAGATGACTGACCTGTGGTACAACATGATTCATTTGACATAATGGAGTTATGCATTAACCAATAGATTTCTCAAATTTTACATTCCTGAGTATAAATAATATGTGAGGATCAATGATAATATTATTATGTAAGCTTGATGTATCATGACCATTATTCTGTCATTATACCATGTCAACTTTGTCTTCTTCACAGTTTTCTATTATTTTTCATGTTTCAATTGTGTAGAGGAAACTAAAAAGATTTTTAATGGAGACTTCAGCATTATTACCTACTTTTTATACTTTCCTATGAAATGTGGAGCATTATATTGGCATTGCCCATGTCTATCGGTCTAGTTTTAGCTCTTAAACACTCATTCATGAAAAATAAAAATATTTAATAACTTGATCTTCAAAACATGTTTAATATTTAACTTGTAATCACTCTAGGAGGCACAATGCTTGATGGATTTAAATGAAACATGGTAAAATGTTCAGAAGGAAGTAAGAAGGAACTGTATCAAGTATATAATGGATAGAATTATATAATTCAGGTAACCAAGAATTAGAGCACCTAAACTCAAGAAAATGATAACCTGGTTTTGTGTACAATTAAAAAAATCTATAATCTTACTGGCAAGGAAATTAATTTAATTTTGTCAAATGACATGAATCACTTGATTGATTGTAAAGTTACATGTTTACATTATTATGTTTTAAATGAACAATAGTTTGATTTGTAAAGTAAAGAAATTAATTTGATGGGATAAAACTTTTAGTTTTGAGGTATATGATGAATTGCTGCTATTGTAAAATGGCTGATGTAGGCTTATGTTACCTTGTCCTACAAGCTATATTTGCATGTGTTTTAATGTTTCTTTCATTTTAAGAAAATGTGCATGGCTTTAAAGTATTGTTTAATTTTCTTTTCCAGGTTTACAAGTGCTTTCATTCCATTCAAAAATCATGGCCCAAAATGGTACAAATGATGATCCCAAGAAAGAAGAAGAATACGACTTCTTCGCTCCACACCCACATCCAAAACCACGTGTCAAAACTTCATTTTTTGAAGTAGTGCCTGATGCCTACTCAGACAAATCACTTTCATTTACTGGAGACATGCGAAGAGTGAAGAAGGTTCCTGAGACAGAAAAAGAAAAGACTCCTGAAAAAGAAGAAGTAATGGAAGAACAGGAACCAGTGGTAGAAGAGGAAGTGATGCAATCTAGTGAATACCGTGTTGTTGATGCTCAACCCTGGGACACTAAAGATGGGGTAATCTTACATCATCTAAGCATGCCACCATTTTATGTTTGGTTATAATCGGTTTTATGTTGCTTCTTCTAGATGGCAGCTTTTGTGTGGTAATTTGTTTTATTTTTCTTTTATGTTTTTTATCTTGTTTTTTTTGTGTGTATATTTCATTTCCCACTTTCTTTTCACTTGTAGTGACCCTGCTTCTAGAACCATAGAAGAAGTTTAATGTAGTTAAGCACCTTGTTGATAGAATTCAACAATCCCTTATGTGGCCATATCTCTTTAGTGTTCAGCTTTTAAAATATAATAAATGCAAGACAGCAGGTAGAGGGTTGTTCCATATGCTTTGACAATTGACATGTATCCCTTTAATCCTTGTTTACAGTCAAAACCATTATATCTTCAGACAATCTAAACAAAATAATTAGAGGAAGCACGTGAATTGTTAAGGTCATTTAAGATATTGATTTGACCAATCAGAGGTCTGGAAAACATCATGATATGATTATCTGAAGTTATGATGTTTCTGACAACCAAGCCCAGATTTTGTTGTGAGATGAGTTATATATTAAATCTAGATTCTTGATCCCATTAGATTCCTGCCATTCCTAATAATCATTTCAATACCACTGGGATATTGGTTAATGCATCTAACGACACACAATACATGAACCTCTTTTAGATTATGCAAACTTGATTTTCATCAATATTAGAATCAAGGGAAATTTCAGAAGTCAAATTCATACCAATATTTATCCAATATAAATATTCAGTTGCTTCAAGATAATTAATTTGCAAAAGCTTTGCATCGGCTTTCCCGATGAAGCACATTCATATGGACATTGATTTTTTGAATTATTAAGTATCACAAGTAATACCTATGAATTCCTTGAGAATTTTTCCTCCCTGGTTAAGAGAATGTTAATGGATGATCCTAGCTGTAGAATGATAAACCTAAAGACTAGAAATAGATTGTTTATAACGAGAGGTTAATTGTAGTAAATTATCTCAAACTAGAACTTCTCTCCATCTCACAAATTGCTCACATTTCATACTTACAAACTGTTTCTTAACAAAAAGATCAGTTGCTACTGACTTTTGAATGAATATATACATGCTTGCTGCTTATAGATACTGGTATACTATTCATTGATAAACCATTGGCATAGGTTGAAATAGTATGTTTATTTTCAACCCGGTTTCTACTATCAGTAACTGAGAACTTATAGTTGACCAGGTCATAATATGAGGCTGTTTATGCTACAGACGATCAAGTTAAAATTCACTCAACAGTTGACATTGAAAATTGTTCATGGCTTTTTTTGGCAAAATTTCACTCATTGCACATCACGATATTTATATACCTGTAATTATAAGCAGAAAAGTCAAGACCTCGATTTCATGTAAGCAAAATCAGTTAATTATTAACAGTCATATAAATTGCAAGTAAAATGTCTTGGATATAAAATCTTTCAGTTTCAATAAATTTAAAGCTAAATGTATATAGGCCTATGGAATTACCTGTACTCATAAACAAATGTTAAAATGTTGTCTTAACTTTATAGCGTACAGATCTTGTCATAGATAATTGAAAACTTGATAATAGGAAGATGAGTGATATCTGGAGCTAAACTTATATTTATTATCTAGATATAATGTTATCCCTAATGGTAATTTTATTTTTTAC